TTTGTGTATGGTGTAAGATAATGGTCTACTTTCATTCTTTTGCATGTGACCGTCCAGTTTTCCCAACACCGTTTATTGAAGAGACTTTCCTGAAAGGCTTATAATAATTTTGCCTTTTAAATTGGTGACCAGTAACTCACTTGATAGATGATTAGCTATGATTCCTTGGCAATCGTGTGTGCTTGCAAATGCTCATGAAGGAAACTCTCACTTACATTGTTCTCAGTATTTTAACAATTAAGCTGTGAAATATTTCATTTTGTGGGTATTTAATTATTTTTGCTCTTTTCTTTGCATAATTTGGAGCCCATATTTTTTTTCCTGTTTTTTTTTTTGCAAACATTTCCATTGGTTCTTCAAAGCTTACAGATCTTAGGCATGATGCCTTTAATTGCCTAACAGGTAAAATAGCAGAGAGGTCAAAACAGAGCACAGGACCAAGAGAGGAGTATGCAGGAAGGTCCAGGAACCAAGCACACTCAGCACTTAAAACAGCATGAGGTTGGTTATCATGACCTGAAGTTGGATCCCTTCATGTAGCAAGCCAGGCACCATTCCAAAATATATGGTCCCCACCAATGTCTTTCCTTAAAGACTATGACAAGCTTCAGGATGTCCTACCATTCCCAGATGCAGCAAGAACAGGCAGCTGCCCCTATCATTCCCCTTCCTTTAGGGCACCATCTGCTTCCAAGACAGAGACCAGTTGCCCAAATGGCCACCAGTGAGTCCAGCAGCAGTCCCATCACTCTCACAGCTGTGGTGGAATGGAATTCACAAAGTAGACACATGAAGTTGCCACATGTGTCATTGCTAGGCTCGTTCATTATTCTTTGTCTTTAAGTTGGCCTCTGATTTCTAGAAATTCACCAACCTTCATCAGTTTGAATATATCATTTCCCAAACTATAGCAGAAATTATTAACAAATTAATCAATCTCAATATTTTTGGATGTAAAACTCTTTAGAGAATTGGGAATGGGGAGGAAACACAGGAATAAAGCATCCTGAGACCTCAGAGAAAATATCTCAATATTAAAAAAAATACTTTTGCCAACTAAGCTACCTGCCACTCCAAATAAACATATATGAGAACAGGGGAGGAGGCAATGATGATGGGCAACTGTCCAATTTTTTTTGGCACCATCTCACACACCCACCCCAATTCCACAGAGAAAACCCAAGTGTGAGGAGGTGAGTTACCTAATGTCATAACAGCTAGTTAATAGCTGAGCTGGGCTAGAAAACAAGTTGTGACACACTTAACTCCGAAGATTACTATAAACTCCCCTGCAGACCCAACAGATGGGTCTCAGCAGAGCAGGATCCACATTCAGAACCACTAATTCAGAAGGACTAGCAAGAGAGGGAGTGGCGCACATGCCAAAACTCTGACCTGATCCACCAATAGGTGCTGACTCAAGGCCTGTGCTCAGGCTTGGGGTCAGACTATCTTACAGGTATGGCCCAAATGTGACAAGGAATCAGAGCAGACCCAGGCAGCCCCTGACAAAATGATAGCTTTTATTTGCTCGAGTAAAGGAGTGATGTGGCTTGGCCTCCGTAAGATGCCAAACACTGATAAACTGTTCCACTCGTATGGCTTCTTAGACCTATCCAACTACAGCACAAAAAGACTCGCTTGCCTGTTGACATTCCCATTAACTATTAGTCACTTCTAAAGAACAGGACAGGGTCATCTGAACATGGAAACTCTGACTAAGCACAAGTTACGTCTCATCCACTCTGGAGCTGGGTGAGGAACAGTGGAGATCCAGGTTGGGCATACGGCCTGTGGTGCTGCTTTCCCATTCACTGCAGACTGGCTAAAATCACCCACTGGTACATCCACAGGTCTCCAACAAACCACCAATAGATAAAGTCAATGGAACCCCACATTTCAATCCTCAGACCATGACCAAAGCCCCCAACAAATCCATTTCTTCCCCACTGCCTTGGTCCCCTCATCTCACCCAGGTGAATCCCACCACTTTGGGTATGGCCAAAACTATGGTAATCTCTTATTTCCCTGGTGTTTTCCTTTCTCCATCTACCTTTGATTTTAACCACTTCTCCAAGCCTCCTCTACTCTATGCTGCCTATTTCCTTCCCTGCCTTTAGCACCCTCAACTCTTCTCCTCAGTCAGCATAAAACTAACTGCCAGCATTGGCCTCCCCTAGGAGCCTCCAACACAAAACACCTAGCGGGAAATGGCCACCTCATGGTCTTTCACTGTAGAGGGACATTGAGAGGACAGGCACCATGGTGCAACTTCAGTTTTTGTATTTTTTTTGTTGAGTCTGTAATCAGTGATGTCCTTCACCACTTTTTATCAGAAAAGATTAAAAAAAAAACAAACAAAACCATGAGGTTTAGCGGCCCTATGAGGGTAATTTGGATTTCAGCAGGGCCTCCTGTTGCTCTTTCCCCATCAGCACGTCATGTTGTAACACTCTAGCTTCCTCCCACCCCTTATCAAGTGCCTTGATGAACGTGGTAAAATAATCATGATGGGGGGAGGCTGGCTGCTGTTTACACAGGATGTAGTTGAAGGGTGTTGAAAGACAGAAGCAGGGCCTGCTAAATGACAGGAAGGCAAAGGCAATGATTCTGCCATGACCCTCAACAATGTCACAGGTCTATCTGCCTTTAAAAAAATCACTGGTCTCATTGAACTCAGAGTGGTCTGTCTCTGTCAGCAGAGGGGAACAAACAGGCCAAGACAGAAAGACAACCCCAAAATGCCAGAAACTCTCATCAAACAACCCAGGGGTAGCTGGACCCACCAGGAGCTAAGAACAAGGCAGAGACTGTAGGAGCTGAATGACACTAAGATGTGCCTGGAACCTGCACAGGATGGCTTCTGCCCAAGGAATGGTATTGCCTCTCTCGGGCATTTGAGAAGGGGCTGGAAGCAGGCTGTGTAAATAAATATTAAACTCACCCTCCTTTTGGCAATATCATCACCACTACCTCCAGATGTTCCCACTCCAGAAGCTGCTGTGCCAGATGGGGGGCTAGAAACCACCAGACACTTTTGTGTTTACAACAGATAGGGCACATGTCCCTTCTACTGCTTGCAATGATATGCCCGGAGTCTACATGCCACCCTAAATTGACCAACAGTACCATTTTCAGAGCTTGTCCCAAGGGACAGAAAGCGCCTGTAGGATAGTATTTGACACGTCCAAAGCAATATGGCCACTTAGTTCTGTATCTGAGCATGGGCAGATCTGGGTTAAACATCAGCAGCACTAAATAAAACTGCAGCATGTGTGGTAGGCAGAATCCTCAGATGGCTGTCCAAGATGCCCGGCCCCTGATTATTCACACACTAATCTAGGTACTGCTGTGATCAGATGACCTTAAGTTAGCGAGATTTTCCAGGTGGGACTGGGATATGAGTCATTTAAAAGCAATGTTTTCTTCGGCTGATACCACAAAAGGAAGTTAGATTCAAAGCACAAGAAGGATTTGATGCACCATTGCTGGCTTGAGGATGGAGGGAACCAAGTTACAAGGAACTTGTTACAGAGGCGGGCAGCCTCCATAAGCTGAGAGTTGTCTCTAGCTGACAGCCAGCCAGAAACGCAGACTCCAGCCCTACAACCTGAATTCCACCAACAACCTGAATGAGCTGGAAACACATTCTTTCCCAGAGCCCTGCCTGGCTGACACCTTGACATCAGCCTTCTAAGACCCTAAGCAGAGAACCCAACAAAGCCCACAGGGATCCCTAACCTACAGAACTGTGAGATGATAAATGGGTATTGTTTTAAGTTCCCAAGTTTGTGGTAATACGTTATGCAACAGAAAACTAGTACAGTATATAAAGCTCTCACTAAGTAGAGCGCCACAGTTCAAAACGGCCTGGACTTCTTCAATGTTAGCCTTCCATCTCCACATCCTCCCACATCCCCAGTCATGAGAGCACAGACTTCTTCTGGCCTCCTTTCACTGAAAAAGAAAAGAGTACCAAGAGGACTAGGGAGGCAATGACCTTTCTTTACTTCAAAAGCCCACTACAGGGCTCTACTCTACTAGGGTTGCCATTTGGAACCCTAGTAGAAAGAATTAGCTCTTTCTCCTTCTACCAACCCCAACCCTGGACACACACCAAATGCAGACTCTATTAGTTGGCAGGGGCAATCCACCATGGGCCCTGAGTGTTCCTGCACATTCTCGTTGGGGAGGGCCTTTACCCAGGCCCTTTCTCATAACTGTATTCACAGCAAGCAATCTTAACGGATGACGCAATGTCCCCATCTAGAACAAAGAGCAGGCTTGTTGTAAGAGGTGGAGTCCCCAAGCATGCATGTCCCTTGGCTGTGATGCAAACCCACTGTGTGCATGGCATCTAGCTAGAGCCCCTCCACATCACCACTGTGGGACTTGGAGGCAGGGGAAACAGATACAAACATGAAGCTCATGCTGTTTGTTGTGCTCTGAGTAATAAAGTTCTTTGTCTCTGACCCAGGACTGTCATGTCTTTTGGTAGCATACATGAAACAGTAATAATCTAATTTACTAGCTTGCAAGTAAGGTAAAATTCCAGACTTGGACACTATTACACTTAGATCTTTGAATCAGGAGATCTAATATCTTTACATCATAAATTTCAAAGGAACAAAATACCCTTTTTGAATTTTCTTGTGGAGATAAAATCTACATCACAGGGCTATTGTGAGAATAAAACATGAAAATACATAACACACCTGGGATATAGAAAACATCCAATAACTTTAATTGGAGCCCTGCCCTCCCCAGACACTTATCCCCCTACATACACACAGAATGAACCAGACAGGGAGCACTATCTGTCTCCAAGATAGCAGTCCCTTCAGAAGACAAAGGATAAAACAGTCTAATATACCAATCTCTGACACTTGCATAGCACTGCACTACTCATAAAGAGCTTCCACCCACATTATCTTCATTTAATCCTTACACAGAAATTGAGGCTCAAAGAGGTCAGTCCTTGCAGAAAGAACAGTTAACAGTCTCCAGAGGTCTGGAAAATGGCCATATGACAGAAGCCCGGGGTGTGGGCTGAGGAAGCACTGCTGAAATCAGCTGTCATGTTGTTCTAGCAGCACAACTGTGTCCTGAAGGCAAAACTCTTCGTCCAGGTAAGCCAAGGGAGCGCTCGTCATCGCTGGGCCTCCTGAGGAATGTCAATGACAGTGGAGAAATGGCTGGAAACCACATGATATAGAGATGTCTTTTATTTGGATATTCTGCTTTTTTTTAAGTAAAATTAATAAGTCCTTAATATAAGAGGTTATCCTGTCCTGGATGAATTTGGGCTTGGTCCATTTGGTGTCCGTGGCAGCTTGTGCTTTGTAAGCACTGAGGCCTTATCTTGTGACAGTATCACTTGAGGGTCTTGCTAAGGTTGGAGAAGCCAATGCCAACACAGGTCATCAGCACTTTATCCCCACCCTTGAGTTCTTCACCACATGGCCGGGTTTCAATTTTAAACATAATCTGGAAAAAGCTCTTCAAATGCCGCAAAAACTCTATCCTAAAAAAAAAAAAGAGAGGAATGAAAAAGGAATTCGATTTTTTAAAAAATTCTCCTTCCCCCACTTAGAACCCAAGCTTTTAATTTTGCTAACAAGATCAAGAGGAATGACTAAAATTAAGAACTGCTCATCAAAGCTGATTAAATAGTATTTATTTACAGCCTGCCAGTTTCCAAAGGATTTAGACAGCCTGCAGAGATGCACACAATATAACATAAATAAATAAAATAAATCAATTAAATAATTTTTTTAAAAGGTTAGAGGTTAGTACCTGACATAAGTCATTTAATCCTATACACTGTCAGAGTGAACATAAATATGGTGTTAATCTTTGAGCAGCTCATGCAAAGAGAGAAACGCATACTCCCATGATTCATAGCACCATGAGATAAAACCAAGCAGAAAGACTGCTGCTGATGCTGAAATAGAGAAGTCTCTCTCTTCATTCCTCAACCTCAACAACACCCTTCCATTCATTCAAGAAATATTTATTCAATGCCTACTATGTGCCAGGCACTGTTCTTGGTGCTGGGGACGTTGCAGTCAACTAAAAACCCCTTCTCTCATGAAGTTTTCAATCCAGTTAAATATTCTTGAAAAGTACATGGAAATTTACATAAAGTAAACATGCAGATGGGGAGGAAATGTGGGTATAACAATATTTGTGTATATATGGCAGGAGGCCACATTAAATAAGGTGGCCAGGGAGAAGTTCACAGTAAACATGGCAAAGAGTTTCACGGGGCTGTTTCTTGTCATTTCCCTTAAGTCAGAGCGATGACTTCACTCCAAGAGTACCTTGGGAATAGCAATTTTGTAGAAGGACCATGGTACAGGTATGCAGGCTTCTACCGGTCTGGCCTAGCAGATTCAGCATCACCCCAGCTAGCCTGACCATAAGACTCACCTGGAGAGTTCATTAAACATACAGGTTCCTGAAGGTTCTGATCAACTGGCAAGTGATAGGGCGGAAGTGTCCATGTGGTAGAGCTGGGAATCATAGTCCACATGCAAAGACGTCCCCACCCCACCCCTTACCAGGCCCTGTCTCCCTAGTGCACAGGGACCAGAACACTATTGTTAACAAGCATCCCTCGTGATTCTTATCAGGCAGAGTTTGGGAACATTGGTTTAGTTAAGAACAGATGGTCTGCGTATCTGTAATGAAGTATTCCAACAACCTTGTGTGGCGCTGCCTCCCAATCAAACCATCCAATCTCCCTCCCCTAGCCAGATGGTTCTCAATCCCAACTGCACATGAAATCACCTGGGGAGCTTTCAAAATACTGATCCTGGACATGAAGATCAATGAAACAGAAATGAGAACGAAGAAATAAACCTACACATTTATGGTCAATTGATTTTCAAAAAAGGTGCCAAGATAATCCAATGGGGAAAGAATAATCTTTTCAACAAATGGTGCTGGAACAACTCCATATGCATATCCACATGCGAAAGAATGAAGCTGGACCCTTTCCTCACCATACACAAAAATTAACTCAAAATGGATCAAAGACTTGAATGTAAGAGCTAAAACTATGAAACTCACAGAAGAAAACATAGGAGTAAATCTTCATGATGTTGGGCTAGGCAAAGGTTTCTTAGACACAACACCAAAAGCAGAGTGATAAAAAACAGATAAATCAGACTTCCTCAAAATTAAAATCTTTTCTGCATCAAAGGACACTATCAAGAAAGTGAAAAGACAACCCCCAGGATGGAAGAAAATATTTGCAAATCATGTATCTCATAAGGGTCTGCTATCTAGCATATATAATAAAGAACTCTTACAACTCAATAAAAAAACAAATAACCCAATTAAAAATGGGCAAAGGATCTGAATAGACATTTCTCCAAAGAAGATATACAAATAACCAATAAACTCATGAAAAGATGCTCAACACTGTAAGTCTTTAGGGAAATGAAAATCAAAACCACTATGAGATACCACTTGACACCCAGTAGATTGGCTACAATCAAAAGGACAGATAATAATGAAGTGTGGGTGAGGATGTGAAGAAACTAGAACCCTCATTGCTGGTAGGAATGTAAAGTGGTCTGCCCACTGTGGAAAACAGTCTGGCAGTTCCTCAAAACGTTAAACAAGGAGTTAACATATGACCCAGTAATTCTACTCTTAGGTATATACACAAGAGAAATGAATACATATACCCACACAAAAACTTGTACACAAATGTTCATAATAGCATTATTAATAAGTCAAAGAGTGGAAACAACCCAAATGTCTACCAACTGATGAATGGATAAACAAAATATGGTATATCCGTACAATGGAATATTATTTGGCCTTAAAAAGGAATGAAGTACTGATACATGCTACATCATGGATGAACTTGGAAAACATTATGCTAAGTAAAAGAAGCCAGTCCCAAAGGACCACATATTGTATGAGTCTATTTATATAAAATGACCAGAACAGGCAAATCTATTACAGAGGCAGAAAGCAGATTTGTGGTTGCCTGGGGCTGCGGGGAGTGGGAGGAACGGTGAACAACCACGAATGGCAAAGGGTTTCTTTCCGGGGTGGTGAAAATGTTCTAAAATTAGATTGTGGTTATGGTTACACAACTTTGTGATTTTACTAAAAACCACTGAATTGTACACTTTAAATGGGTAAACTGTGTGGTATTGTGAATTATATCTCAATTAGGCTGTTTAAAATAAATAAGTATATTTGTAAAGGTTAAAAAAAAGTACTGAGGGGTCAGCCTGGTGGCATAGTGGTTAAGTTTAGCATGTTGCGCTTTGGCGGCCCGGGGTTCTCCAGTTCGGATCCTGGGTGTGAACCTACACCACTCATCAAGCCATGCTGTGGCAGCGACTCACACACAAAATAAAGGAAGACTGGCACAGATGTTAGCTCGGGGCCAATCTTCCTCACCAAAAAAAAAAAAAAAAAAACCTACTGAACCTGGCTCCCACCCTCACACAGTTTATACCAAGCTAAGTATAAAGCCTACTGCAGTGAATTTTCCACCCTCTCCTGTTCCTCTGTCTTAGTTAATCTAGTCAAAGGAGAGAAAAGGCAAAAAGAAGAAAAGGGGGCCTGAACAATTCCTCACCCTATCTGGCTGACATGACCAGCATGTCATGGGCTAAGAGATGAAATAGTGACTGCCCTGGAGAGTAGGAGTGCTGGTGAGTGCTGCATGCTCACAGAAAAATTCCTCACTTCTTTGGTCTCTCTTCCACCTGGGATTGTGCTACTTCATCTCCATCTTTAAAATATTATCGCATTTGCCAACTCTTCTAAGAAGCTTTCCCTAGCCAACAATCCCTCTGGGTTTCCACAGCATTCTTGGCTCTACTTATGGTATCTAATTAAACGTTTACACATAGTTGTCGCACAATTGTCCCCTCCCTCCCTTGGTAAATTATTTAAGCACCTCAAGGGCAAAGACCTTATCTACCGCTGAAACCTATTACACCTGCTAGGCACTGTGTAAGGCACTCAATAATGAGGCACCGAATAGAATTTAGGAGTTAGGGCTAATTTTGAGAAATGACTTCAACATTCCTAGCAATGAAGGAAAGTTAGTTCTTCCCTGCTAGCTTTCCTGTCTTAATAACCAATTGAAATTTTCAGTTTTTTGCTCTCTGCCCCAGCCTCACAACCTCCCCCACCCTGTCCTAGGAAAAAAAGAAAACAAACACGTCAAACCCATAAATAAACAGTCCACATCTGTGGGCAAAGCTTCCAGCTGGCAGCAACACAGAAAAAGCCAGCCATCTCAACCACTCGTCTGCATCCTAAGGAGAAAACAGTCTGTTTTCTCTCGGTGCTGCCTGAGCTCTAATACAGGCCTGGGGCACGCACTGCTCCCAGAACCTCCCCAGCCTACCTCACTCTGAATCACTCAACTGTGCTAGAAAAACCAGACACCTTCCCCAGCTGGCAGAATTCCTACAAGGCCTCGGCTTGCTTCTGATCTCTTGGAGAAGGATAGGAGGAACACAGGCCTGAGTGTGCAGGCCTACATATTTGCAGCTTTGGGGATTTGTGGCCTTTGGAATAGTTAGAAAAAGCAAAGTCGGTTCCACTTTTTACATAATGTTCTGCCAGCCCCGCGGTCTGTCTGAGGAAGACTGTGTAAGGGACTGGATTAAGGGATGTTTGAGAATGTTCTCCCACCTTCAGCCTCATTCTCCCTATATCTTCTGTAGCTGGGATCTCAAAAAGCAAACATGCTTGGAAGCTAAGAAATAACCACAGGTGACATTAAATCCTAACAGTCTCCTTAAGAAAATGGAGAATAAACTCACCCCACATCTATATGCAGCTGCACAAAGTCACATCTGGAGCTGAACTACATCATTCTCCACAGCTCTGCAGCCACAGCCGCACACAGGCCCTACGAGGCCCCACCTCCCCAGCGCAGAACGTCCCTTTCCTTCTCTTCCAAAACCATATTGTAGATCCACACTTCCTAGACATAGCCCCACGGCCACACAGCCAGGCAAAAGAGAGATCCATGGCACACCGAGAGCAACTCTGCTCCTCAACGGATGACCACCTGCACAGTGTAACTGGCAGCTTTTCAGACTAACCATTTTAGGCAATTGAGATTCTACACAACTCCGGGGTGAAGGATTTGAAGTCAACTTAAAAAACTCTATCTGTAATGAGCTTCTTTTCTTTTCTTTTTTTAGGACAAAGCCATTTATTTATTTACTTTTCAGAAAAACAAAAACCATCACCTATTTTTCTACGAAAGCCTCCAGTCCATCTGGCAAGCAGGTTTCAGAGAACTCTGGGGCACAGAGATAATTTTTCCTGTGTATTTGCAAAGGAAATATTGTTCCCACCACCACTGTTGGCCAACAGGTGAAGGCTAATGGGGCCTCAGAGTCATCTGCCCATTGACGCCCAACTGCCTGGGACTTGCCAGGTTGCCTGGCCTACCCCTTGAATACGGCCCCTCTCACCAGGTCGCCCTTCTGAAGCCTGATACAGAAGGGTGAGGGCAATCACGGGTGAGCTCTCTCTGGCAGCTTCACAGACACAACCAAGACAGAGGATCATTCTTCCTGCTCCACCAAGCCACCTGGATACTGGGGTCACCTACTTCTCAGGTCTAAGGAGTTGCTCTGGAGGTTGAGGGGAAAGATCTGAGAGTGGGAAGGCAATCTGTCTGACAGGGCCCCCGGTAGTCATTACACGGCAGCTTTTTAAAACCACGGTGGTCGGTGCTTTTTCTGCCGAATAGTGGCTTTCCCAAAGCCCAGCTGACCTCGTGTTCCAAGAATGAATTTTCATAGTGAGTTCTTGGCCGAACTTGCCTGAGACCCACGTCTCCCCCAGCCTCGCTCTCGTTTCCTGCTGTCTTTATAACTGAATTTAATAACTTCATTCTTGGAGCAGAGGTCAGCTTTTTCATCTGAAAAGTAAGGCTATATCACTTGCTTTTACCATACACCAAAATGTTTTGGGTTCAAACAGCATAATAAAGGTGACAGGGCTTTGCAGCACGTAAAGCACTTCCCAAATGTGAGGTGGAGTGGTACTGTGCTAGCTCACGGACAGCAGTTAAGCAACTGAACCAAGTGCAGCAGGCTCAGCCAGCAGTTCCCAGTTTGCCGGTGCATTATCTCATTTGATCCTCACACTGCGGTGTTTCAGCCTGGGTGAGCCAAGAACCCCTGGCCAGTCAGTGTTGAACAAGGACACTGGGCTCTCACTCCCCAGCACTTCACAAGTAGTAGAAAGAGGTCATTTATTAAAGTTAGGAAAAAACAAAGTGGCATGGTTTATTTTAGACTTCCAACTAAAGATAGAAGGAGATCATTTTACAGCAGAATTTGAAATGAGGACTCTCTGAAAAGATGTAGCATGGCATCCTGCCTCAGGCAGGGAGGTGCCTGGAGTCCAACAAGATGGATGGAATCCCAGCTCTTACATAAGAGCAGTGGGTCAGGGAAGCATGGACTCTAGACGAGATTGTCTGGGTCTGCATCCCACTTGCTGACTGTGTGACTCTGGGCACGTGACTTGACCTTGCCTCAATCCTCTCACCAATAAAATAGAGTGTGTAAGAGTACCTGCCTTTATCACCCTCATAGGGTTACTAGGAAAACCAAATGAGTTCATGTTTGTGAAGTGCTTAAAACAACATTTGGCCAACAGTAAAAACTAAATAAATACCTACCTTACAGAATTCTTGGGAACAGTAAATAAGATGTGTGTGGATAGTTTAGTAACATGACTGCAGGAAGTTAGTCATAAATTTAAAATTTATAGATTTAGAGATAGCTGAGCAGACAATTTGCAGCTGACTTCAGGTCTGAGATTGCCCAAAGCAAGTTTACTAGGCCTCCTGGTGTTCAAAGTGACCTTAATGGGAGACTGGACTTCCCAGATTGAGGGGATGTCCAGGTGGGACCTCGGCGTTCAGCACTGAGTGAGCTCTGTCAGGCACACTGTGCTGCTGGGAGCGCTAAGTACCTGACACCTCATTTAAGTCTCACTCCATCTTTACAAACTCGTGAGTTCAGGACCATTCACCTTCTCTACAGATGAGATGGAGCTCAGAGACACTAAATACCTTGCCCACGGTCTCCCGGTGCTCCAGGGTAGAGCCAGAACTGAAATCCAGATAGGATGGACTCCAACGCCTGTGCACTGGCGGAATGTAGAAAGAGCGCTGGTAACCGCAGTCTCCAATCATAAACAATGTCTGAAAGTGCTAATTAAGATGCTCATTAATATATATTTTTCTTGCTGTTAATCCTACTTTTAAATAAAGTATAAATCCTCCTCTAAACTGTAAAGTCAAGCTTTTCGAGGGGAACGTGGAACCACTGTCACCAAATGTAGCCACCTAAAACTCAACCGAATTTAACAGACATAGGTTCTCCACATACCAGCATGATATCCAATACTATTTTATTCCACCGACAAAAAAATGTCTCTGGCTTTTCCTAAGAATTTCACACATATAGATTTACTTTCTCAAGTAACACAGAAAACTATCAACAACAATCTCCTGAAGTAAGACAGAGGGAAGAGGAAAAGGGAAGATCATAGCGACTCTGATTTTCCAGAAACGGTCTGAAAGCAACACTGCAAGAAAAAACATCCTCCTTAATCCCAGTGCTCTGTAAACAGACATTTAAAAAGCTATTTATACAGATGAGAACGTGCAAACTGCCAGAAGAAATAAATTTCTTTAAACCAGGGAAGGTCTTGCTTACGGCTTTTGTTAGAAATTTGAGGTTTCAGAAAACAGATTTTCATGACTTTGCACAAAAAAAGAAGTGTGATAGTTTGGTCTCCAAAGCTCTTGAATCCAACTAGGATAAACTGTTCCCCCCACTATGATTGTCCTGACTACAGATTCTGTCCCTTTTTTACCCTTAACTATACACACAAATACGCTGTTAACTTTGCTTGTCAGGTCTCTAAAGGATGCATATTTCCTCCCACTTTTGCCCTTCAGTACTTTGGGCCACTGCAGACTTCCACAAGGATAAAGGGCAAAAAGGGTCTTAAATAGATACAGCTTTCAAAAATAAACTCCCTGATCCCCCACCTTGTGCTGGCTTACCAAAAAGAAGGTGGGCTGCCCGCTCCTACCCCATGGCAGCCCCTCTTGCATGACACCCCAGAGGGCAGGTAATCCAGAGGAGGCAAGTCCTGCAAACCCCACTCCCAAGTCTCAAAACACAATTTTGCAACTTGTCCTACTCCTGTAAAGCTCCATTCAGAGCAGACCATTTTGTTTTCCCAGGAGCTGTAGCAATTTTAGGCAAGGTTTCTGGAAGACAAGACACTGCAATTAATGTTTGGTGAAGGGGTGTGTCGAGGAGGACACAGGAACTTTTAAAAATGTCCAGTCACATCTTGACCAACTCCACAGGGGCTGCTGACTTGAAAAGATTATAAAGGCCCTGTAGCCAAACAAACTGAAAAAAATCTCCAAAAGCAAAAAAAAAAAAAAAAGTGTCAAGGAAAAATAAAAATATACATTCCATTTTTCACATAATGTTCTGCCAAACCCCATGCCCCACGACCACACACATTTCTAGACACCGCCTCATGCCGTGTGAGCAGTCCAGCCTTCTGCTGCCCTGAAGCAGAGGCTGGGAAAGCAGCAGCAATGAGACCAGCTAAAAAGCTGAATGGAACTGTGGTGGTCACAGAGCTATCAGCTCTTTCCAGAAAACTCTAGAGGAAGAGAATCTCTGCACGTAGGGTTCTGTACTCTCGCCCTCACCTCTTCTCCAAATGCCTTAACTACAAAGTCTATTTTAGCAATGTTGATTCCTGATGTTAGCATGCCATTTAGGATTACTCAATTTCAGGTTTCCTGTCCTGTGAAATACTTTACACAAGTTATCAGGAGATAACGTGGTCCTCACCAGTTTCCCGTTTATCAGTCTTCCCCCACTGCTAACAGAATGTATTCTCTTTCATTTCCTTGTTCCAAAAAAACCTCCTACCACCAACTCAAAAAAAAAAAAAAGCCTCCAAAAGAATCTCTTTCAAGTTGCTGGTCTCCACAGCCCCCAAACCATGGTCCAATGGTACATCACCCCTTGGCAGTGCTTGCCCCTTTCTCAATGTGATGGCACCACCATTCTTCAGTTATCACAGTACTGTACCTTTCAGATATACAGCATCGGTACCATGATAACCGAAAAAGGACAGTTCAGTCTCATATCTACCTGAATATTTCCTCCCACACAAGGCCCACCCAACCTTGCTCCCCACCCACAGATGGCCATATAATGATCTCAGGTATAAAAGCACATGTGCACACACAGAGATGTCAGTGCTCAAACAGGCTGTTTACAGCAACCTCATTTACTGTCAGTGGGAAATGCTCCTTTCACTGTGTTGTTTAGAATTCAAGTCTTCTGAGGATCTGCCCTTTTTGGAGAGTAGTACCTGCTTTAATACCTCAGCAGTCAACTTCTGATAGTATCCCACGGCCTCAAACTCACCTCTACATCTGCCTACTAGTCCAGTGGCATCACTGTGAACTTTGCCTCTTTCTTCATCTTTCCAGCTAGCTCATATCCTACCACCTTGGACAAAAAGTCCTTTTTGCCACAGCTAGGGAAAAGAGGAATTTAAAAAACTAACAACAAAATCCAAGCTATAATAGAACAGAAGTTTACCTCCAAAATGGAAACAAAATCTAAAGCACAGACAAAAGAACTATCTAATACATATCACATAACTTTAATGACATGGGAATGATGAAACTACAGGAAAGAAACGAAGGCAAAATCCTTGTAAAACACCAGGCTGAGAGTGACAACCTCCAGCTCATTTAAGCATAGATACAAACAGGTGTTCACAATGACAGGCTATGCGCAGTATATAACACCTTTGTCATTTCGTGCAATTGGAAGATTAAGGGGAAAGCATAATGAGGCTGAAAGAAAACAACTCACGTGTAGGGAGAGAGCGGTCCTAACAGGACTTTGGAAACGTCCTGCTGTCCAAGGGTCATGAGCAACAGAGCCAGGCTTTGGTTGGTCGAGTCCACACATCCACCCTGTAAACACAGACACTTTAAAGATTAATTGTTGTACCAACCAGAAAATGGAAAACCAACAAAACAGAGGAAAGAACAGACAAAGATACTCAGAATATCAGAACCACAGAAGAGCAGACTGCAAAGTTCAAACAATAATAAAACAGAATACAGATCTTTTAAGAGTAATCCTTATATCAACTAACTTTAAGGGGTTAAACTAACAGTTAACCAAAGCAATTGTAATAGCTGAGACTATCAGAATGAACAGACATTCAAGTTTACTGAGATGTATCTAGTGAAAAATGAAACTATCCTTTCATAATTAAAGCAGCAGCAGGACATACAAGCAAAAAAGCAAAATCGGTTCTAAGAAATGTATAGTTAATTACCAAGGGTTAAGTGAGTGACGCTTCTAGTGAGTGACGCTTCTATTTATTTAATCTGTCACAGAACACTACAGTAGATCTGACATGAAAGGACGTTTACATGTCAAGGGTCTTACCTATAACACTTATTCAAATACATCCAGAGACTGCCTGCCACGTTACATTGGTTTCTCCTCCTCTGCGTGCCTTAAAACTGGAGAACTGTTGAGCTCAGAGCCCTCCATTCTTATTACTGTTTTTCCCCACTTTTCCTTCCTTTTCTTCCAAATCAATAAGCAGAACAGAATTCTTTTCAAAAACTTTCTCCTGAAGTACAATTGCTTGGGTGGACTTTCTTCTCTCATTTTTGAATTTCTCAACCATCTCAGCCGCTTTGCTTCTACTAGATGTGTGCATTACTGCTGTTTCCTTTTGTGCCTTAAAAATGTCTTTATTTCTGATCATTTTTTCTTTACTTTAACTTTACTTAAAACAATTTAAACCTGCATTGTACACAGTGAAAGCAGCATGACCTTGAATTTCTACATATTTTGCACACATCACAATAAGAAACTCAGTTTCTGACCATGGCACATCACTGTCCAAGACTAGACTCTCCCAGATTTTGAACAGAATAGGTGGCCACCCACTGTTGTTTATGTGAGTACACTTCCCGCCTTTTTTAATGCATGTAGAGTAGGGAATACATCAATTCTCAGGCGCAGACACTCATTCTCTGGTCGTCAGACTTCATTCAGCTGCCCTGACAATGGAGTAGGAAAATAAAGGGGTTTATTCTACTCCCAGCCTTTATGAAAATCAACTGTTCTTCCTAAACTACCTGAGTTATAATGGACAATATTTATCCCACTTAGCAAATTCTAGGACAAAAAGAATTACAGCAGATATATTTCCATCTAAAAAGGAACACTTGACCCATAGAGACTATGAGAACCAACAAAACTAATTGTTTTAACAAATCTGCTCCTTTTCCTAAGACTGTCTAAAATTAAACTGTTCTCTTCAGTCTCTGCTCCATATCACCATGTTGCTATCCCACCATTCTCAATTGATTTTTATCATGGACCAACATTTTAGTGCAATAAATATGCTAGTGTCTGTGTACTGGACACCATGGAGGGAGTGGTGGGGCCACCCCCACAGCAGAGGATGCAATCTTTGTGCTGAATGGCTTCAATCTCACTGCAAAGATGAGATATGAGCAGGAAGCAGAAACAATTCAAGGTGAAACTAAAGCTGCAGCAGCTGAGGGCTGGGGACATTGGGACTGCCAAGGCAGAGGATGTCACTCACCTGGCACCAGCGGGAGCTTTGGAGAGGTGGGGACTTGAGCTGGCCCTGGAGGCATGAGGGGAATTGGAGAGGGAGGAAGAGCAGAATAATGGGGAAAATATGACCCAGAGCCAGTGAGAAGCAGCCAGGAGGCCAACCTGAAAGTGCTGCATGCTGTCTGTGGAGAAGAATGCACAACAGCAGGGGGAAGGTGGAGCAGGCAGGTTACGGTAAAGCTTTGCTAACTGGCTCAAGGGTTTTGACTTTATCTTGGGAAAGTAAGAAGCTGGTGAAGCCCTCTAAGCACAGGAGTGAAAAGATCAGATCAGTGTTTCAGGGGGAGATTTAGATTGAAAAGGATGTTGGAGAGGACTTGGAAAGGAGTTCCCCTCCACAAGTGGGGAGAGCCAGTACACATAATCCAGGTCTGGGGGAGTGACGGGGTGTAGAAGGGAGGAGGGTAGTAGAGGCAGGCAGCAAAAAACATGGATAGGAAATGGCAGTTCCAGAAAGCCTGGAACAGAATCAAGAGGGCCTGGTAACTGATGAGACAGAAATGAGACAAAAGGGATTAGATCAGAGGCTTAAAACTTTGGCAAAAAATAAACGGCACTTTCAGGGGCCGGCCCTGTGGCATAGCAGTTAAGCGCGCGTGCTCCACTTTGGTGGCCTGGGGTTCGCAGGTTCGGATCCTGGGCGCATGCCTATGCACCGCCTGTCAAGCCATGCTGTGGTGGCATCCCATATCAAGTAGAGGAAGAAGGGCATGGATGTTAGCCCAAGGCCAATCTTCCTCAGCAAAAAGGAGGAGGAATGGCATCGGATGTTAGCTCAGGGCTAATCTTCCTCACAAAAACAAATAAATAAATAAATGGCACTTTCAAAGGGGATATTTTTTTATTACTCATCTAGACCATGTCATATCACAGACCCATAGAGAATTGTTCGTACGAAAATGAAGTATTTTTATCCTTTTAACAATTAAAGATCATAGACCCAGACAAAGGAAGTTCTCTTAATGATTAAAAAAAAAAAAACCTTTATCCAGGCACAATGAAATGGTTTAAAGTAGAACTCAACTAGAGTTAAACAAAAAATAATAACTGAATCTAGACTGCATGTTTTTTTTCTTGTGGACTGGTGAGCTGTGCTTTCACTCTGAGGCTTATAATCTACTACTTATGGGGATATAAAACCTGCAGTCCAGCTGCCCCTATAGTCTCCCACTGGGCTGTTCTGTAATGTGATGCTTCCAATTCCCCCAGGCCCACTGGAAAGAGATGGAAGTGTCCCCAGGGTCAGAGAGAGGGCCTGCCAGCCACCACAGCACCAAGGAAAGGAAACCTGCACACGTCAGCAGGGGCTCAGGGATGCACGTATTGGACACACGCGTCACACGCACATTCTTTGCTCACAAATGTCTAGATGATAAACTTCCTGAACTAAGTAACTGGCAGGGCAACCTCTTGATCATTTACCCCCAACTTTTAGTTACTATCTTTCAAAAATCACTAAGTTAAGCATCAAACATTGGGCTGATTTAGCATCAAAAAAGCTGAGGCCAGACCTTGACTGCACAAGAAGTAGGAGAAGATACTTCCCTCCTTCAGGAGAATTTCATTTGATAGGATATTTCCTTCCTCCACTATTTCCTAGCTGAATGGTCAATAAGGGGATGGAGTCACTCTACAGAAGACATAATTATAGGTCCTTTGTCTTCCATTTTAATTAGATGGACACTAAATAAAGCCATTTAAGACCTGGAAATTTTAATTAACTCTCAAACAGTTCATTCTTACTTGTTTTACCTTGCTACCCATGAGGTATTTTAAAGAACGCCGACTTGGATCAGGGGAGCAGACTGTGGCTATGAGCTGTTGTCTTTAGTGAGGCCTGTGCAGGGATCAATACCCATGACCCAGGCATCACCCCACCACAGTGATTAATAAGTTACAGTGGCAAAAGGAAGAATTAAAGGAAAAACAAAATCACCACTGTACCTGCCTTACTGTTTTTATTTCACTGGGCTCAGATATGATTTTTGCACTTTAAAAAGGGCAAAACTTCCTTGGAGACTTCAGGAAAGAAACACCAAGATGACTAATAACCAAGAATAAATACAGAGATAAATACAGAGATGAAAGGCTCTTCAGCTCTTCAGCTGAAGAAGAAAGACAATTTACAAATAACATATACCATCCAATCCCCCAGAGGACAGCTCTTGTTAGCACTCAGTTCAAGAATGTGGGACCCAGCATACACAGCAGAGAAATAGCCATCACTCAGAGCCTGTCCTTGATTCTGCATATCAAGGGAAAGGTTTCACCTTCCTGAATGGAACCAAGGAAAAAGATAGTGCAGACTAACAGAAATCTTGGAACCAGATTTGTGACTCTCCTCTAACCAAGTATATGAGATCTTAGAGAATATATTTTCAGGTAGCTTCATCTTATTCTTCCTGCCATCATCTTCCCTTCTCTCCCAATTTCTTCTTTGCTTATTTTAGATCACCTCAACTACCTTTGGGAAACAGAGTAAAAGTGTGTGTACGTATATGTGCATATTCCTCATGTGGTTCGACAGAGAAAAAACAGTGGCATCTGAGAGGACAAGTTGGTCCAGGTAGGTCTGAGCTGTGTCCCACCAGCAGAGCTGCAGAAGCAACATGGCAATCAGTGAGGTGTCACCCTTTCTTTGTCCCGTGTTCTCATCTTTCCAAGGCCCTACCATGCTCTGACACAGGTCTGCCTTCACTAGACATTCTTCTATGCTCTAGAGCACACTGCAAAATCTAGCCTGTTGACATTATTTTCTATCTGAATTAACTGTCACATACAAATGCAGATTTCCAGCTTCTCTTGAAAATTCTACAAACAATGAGCCCCGATTCCCCTTAGGCAATGACTGGGGGAGCTGAGAGACGGTACTCGCTTTGCTCAGAGTGGTGTGTGCCCTTCAACCGGCCAGTCACCACCTAACCTGCTTCATTTTTTTATCTTTTCTCTCCTGACTCTGTTTCAGTTCTTTCCTCTCCCCACCATTAAAAGTTACCTGCCCTGTGTCCCAAACCAGTGGGGCTGGATCTCTGCTCACTGACTAATTTAGCCAATCCTTTAAAAACTAGTTAATGCTAAACTGTGTAATGGGTAGGAAGAGGTTAACTCTTTGGCTTAAGCCCTTGGAAGAGGAAGAAAGTTGCTAAGAAATAAGAATGAGAGACAATGAACTGCTTCCTGATGGCTGCTCTCCCAGACCTGCAGAGGCTGAGGACATACCCTATAGATTTCTTCAAGCAGCAGCCTCGCACAGTTTCTACCGAGGTCCTCTGGAAGCACCGCTGTTCCTTGGCCCTGGGGGTTGGAGGCCAGTTCAGCACTGAGGAAGGTGCCATTGGTGGTCTCAGCAACCAGTGACAACCCAAAGCCTGGAGATCTGGGGATTCAAAGGCACAGACACTGAATAGGGTTAATGAAGTGGGGTTCACATTCACCAGCAAAATGAAAGAGAAAAACATCTTTTTGATGGCATTATGTCTGGTTCCATCAAGCCTAATCAGAGTTCCTACTGGCTCACACTGGAAATATACCAGACTTAGTGAGGGCACACATGGCAGAACCAAAGGAGATGGGAGATGATGTTTGCATTGCTCTTCCTTTGAGCCTTCCCCATCCCTTCCCTTCCCTTCCTACACTGTCCAAGATCCTAGGGTGAGAGTTTGTAACAATCGACATATATAGCGACATTAACAAGGGCTACTAGATACTGAGCACCTACTTTCTGCCAGCTTCTGAGCTAGGGGCTTTGACACTGCAATCCTGCAGAGTAGATATTACCGTCCCCATCTTACAAATGAGGAAATGGAGAAATTAAGCAACTGTACCAAGTCCACACAGCTAGAAAGTGACTGAGATGTGTTTCAAATGCAGGTCTTCCAGACTCCAGAGCCTACACAACTTCTCCAGCATAGCCCTCACTCGGCCCTCACTCACAACCAATCCACAAGGTAAAAGTGGCCTGGATTAAAGCTCTTCTTGGGAAATGTCAGGCTTTTATCCCCTGCAATGAAAAATACCACATAAGCCAGAAATGGCCTAAATAAGGCACATCTTTATGTTTCTGTCCCCAAAAGACATCTCTAACTCAGAATTCAATTAATATAATCAATGAGCTGGCACCATGTTCTCTCCCATTGTGTTTCTACCACCAATACCAGAACCTAACACCCTTCTTGTCCAGAACCACAGCTGATTCATCCACTCAAAGCATCCAAGAAACATTTGGAAAATAGTTTCCACAGGCCAGCAACTGGGGACATGGTGGTAAACACAAGAGCTCCTGACCACACAGAGTTTAGTAACAACAAGTTTGAACACAAAACAAGATCAGTCCATAAACAATAAAAATAAGCACCTTTCCACAAAATTTCCAGATTTGACACCTCAAATCTACTTTGCCAAGTGCCTTTTAAGTAAATATGTCATCAGGAAAGGTGCGGGAGCCTTCCCAGCAGTACAGTCCACACCCAATCACAATACAGAACTGCCTCCTTTGACACAATTCAACACCTGTGTTCACGAAGCATTTCTATGCATCCAGCACAACACTAGCCAAGATATCTGGTTCAGAAAAACTACGTGTAAAATTAATGACGTCTCAAATGTGCTATATGAGCTCACTATATGGAAGAACTATATTGATCAGTCCTTAAATTTCTTAAAAAGAAATATGATTGTCTACATAGCCAAGGGTTAATAACACCTGCCAAGGGAAGGAGTACAGTGAGAACAAAGGTTCCAGGGCATTCTGAGTCATCCTTAACAATCTAACACTGTGCCACCGCCCATCATCATGGGACATTTTAGCACAATCTCACATTGCCTTTGAGTCACTTGACCAGGAGGAGGGAGGGGGCATCCAGCTCAGCAGCAGAAGCAGTAGCATTCAAAAGTGAAGAGCAGAGAATGGAGGGGAAGAGAACCAGAAGATAAGCTACCATCACTGCTTTAACCCACTTAACTGGCATTTACCAAGAACGCCCGAAATTTTCCATCCATGTGAATTTTTTGAGGTATGTGTACTTATTATTACAATGAACTTTATATTTAATCAAGATTGTTCCATTTAATATTATATTACATTCGTTTTATAGAAAACAAAGAACACAATAACATATTAAGCTCTATGTATACATTACTCCAATTTTTACCCCCAATTTGGGGTATGTGTTATCAGGCCTATTGCAAGGCATGCTGACAAGGCAGCTAGTCACCAGGTGACCTCACTGAAGATGTGCAATAGTACAGTTTGAAAATGACAGCTTTCAAAACTTTCCAATTGGTAAAGGACTAGATTTTTTTTTAAAAAGTCTTTGCTGTGAGAATCAAAATGGGACCACACTGGACAAATGTGCACACTGCTCGAAGTTCCAACCCAGGCCGCCAGGAACTGCTGGTCCACAAGGTTCCAGGTCCTGGCCACAACACAAACTCTCTCTTCTGGACTTCAATAAGCCTAACTCACGTGGATACCTCACCAAATTAGAAGAGGAAACTACCCACCTATGACTTTATAATTTCATGACAGAGAAAGAAGATCATCATTTGTCATCTGTAAATTGAGATTTAGAAAACTAAACACACACTTAATATCATTGGTTTTACATGTAATTTTTTAAGTGGAACTTGGAGTTGATGACCCAGGAGTCTACATCACACCCACATCGTGATCCATGTGTGAGCTTCCTACTCACCATTCACAAGTATGGGACCACACCACACACCAGGGTCAGCTTAGTCAACGGCATTATGAAAAGCTACGCTATAGCTGGGGGCAGCATGGCCTTCAGGTCTGCTCTGTTTCATTCCTGGCCATCCTTTGGTAGAGCTAGAGGCCAGCAGAGGAGACATGATCAAGATCAGGCCATTCAGACAGCTGCTGCTGCTACCCAACCTCTCCTCCTTCTGTAACCCCCTCTCCCCAGAGAAAAGCTGACACATAATTCCAAACCTTTGGCCAAGGGAAGAGAAGGGAAAGAATGGCATTAGCAGCTACCATTTCTGTAGCACCTACTATGTGCCAGGCATTGCATATGGTTTACATATGTAATCTTTTAATCTTTACGGTAACCTAGGGAATACAGGTATTATCACTCCCATGGTATGAATGAAGAAAACACTGGTGACATTTGAGCAATACACCAAAGGTTTGGGACCATCGCTGACCTTTCCAACTTTCAGGGAAAGCGCCTGGTTTGCACACAAATCCTTTCTCAACTCTAACCTCTGACACCTCCACCTCTGTTTCTTTGGACTCTGAGCCACCACCGTATTTCTGAAATCACCTTCCTCTTTCCCTTGGACCTCATGAAGGTCAGAGATCCCATAACACACTCACTCCCTCCTTTATTCTCTCTTTCCTTCTTTTGCTGAAGTTAAAAGAAACCGCAGATGGAAGAGCTATAAAAAAGGATGAGCTGCGGTACTATTTAGGAAAAAATTGATTTCTTAACCCACAATAGTCAGTCTCTGATGTTCTTATTTTTAGGAGACACAACCTGAAAACTTCAGATTTAAAGTGTAATGATACTGTCATTTACATTGAAATGGTTCAGCAAAAACAAAAACACACAAAGAAAACCCACTCAACAAGTAAAGCAAATTTGGCAAACTATTCATTGTTAACTACAGCTAGTAGGAATATACAGGTGTTCACTGTACCATCCTTTCAACTTTTCTGTATGTTTAACGTTTTCATTAAAAAAAAATTAAGTTTTTAATTGCTTCCCTAACTTACTGGTTTCTAAATACAGAACTGAAACCTAAAACAGATATTTTAATTACATGAAACATCATTAACTTTTTATTTTCTAAAGTGAGGTTTTCCGCAAAGGCTTTAACTAAACCAAATTCAAATATGCAATAACAACTCTCTTTGGCTCTAGGTCTGTTGTTCCCCTTGAAGGAGAGAGAAGCTGACTGGCACTTAGACAAACAAAGGTTTTTTTTCCCCTAAACTGTTATTTACTCAGGGTAGAAGAACTTGTTTACTTTAATTTTTTGTGGGAACAGAGTGCAGATGGGATTTAAAGCTTGAAGCACTGTTTATTAACAGCTGGGTTTTAATTCCCCTAGGCTAGGGACTGGACCCCTCACTTCCCAACACTGGGCACTTCATGATGCTTTCTGTGTGAAAGGCGTTACTGGTGACAACGGCAATAAGTTAGAAGGAAATTAATCCTGTAATCTTTCTTTCTCTGGCTGCCCAACCTCAGAGCTGGCAACTTTAACTTCAATCAGAACAGGAGTATGAAAAAAGTGAGGGTAGCTGCAGAATTAGGCTCCAAAATTGCACAGGCACTTACTTCCCAGAGTTGACTCCTTTCATGTGGTCTGTGTAAATATAGATATCAGGTATAAACTTGTTGAGGATGCTCCTTGCAGAATCTACAATCCGGTTCGCCATCTGAGGTGATACACGTACAGAGTACCTGCAACCTAGAGTTAAGGATGTCATTCTGCGTGGACTACAGAACAGAGAAAATTCTGTTATAAAGCTAGCAAATATTTGTGGAACAGTAATAACAAACTGGGACTTCTAATTCCACTCTATTTTCCAACTGTATTTAGTACTTAAAATTGAGTACCATAACTCGATTTTTTAAATTATTATTATTATGTATTTATTATTATTATATAATGTTTTATATTATTGTTATATAAAGTATAAAGTAAAAGCTCCCCAACCCTGCTCCAGACTGCCTATCCACACTCCTTCCCCTAGAAATGGTTCCACTCAATTTTGGAACAAGTGAAGGCAATGGTTCTCTGTATGGCATGAGCTAGCAAGAACCAAAGGCCAGAACAGACACCACACTGGGCCAATCGCAATCCTCCCCCTGGTCTCTTGACAGGGGAAGCAGAAAAAGATTACTGAAAGAGCACCGTGGGCTGTGTATAAAGATCTAAACAGGTTTTTTTTAACTTACGAAGCCTATTTTCAATCATTTAAGTATCTATTATGTACTCCATTTGTGGATGATACAGGCTCTTCCCACCTACTATCTTATGGTCAAAAAACTGAAAATTAGCACTTATACAAGACGGTACCCCCAGAAAAGAAAGGAGGAAGATATTAGCAATGCAAGTGAAAATGCTGGTGCTTGAGGAAGTAGAAACTATTATCTAAAATTAGACTTTATTACAGAGACTGGCACTTCCCAACTCCATGAATCAAATAAAAAATAAGTATGTACTGAGCACTTTCAATGTGCAGTGCATAGTCAAGAGCTTGCTGCATGTGTGGGACGGGGGCTAAAGAAACAGAGAAGTAACAACGTGTGATCTCCCCACGACCCTGATACAAACCCCACGTGGAAAGTCCAACAGGGAAAACAAGACATGTGGTCTGCCCAGTCCTGCCCACCTGTTCAAAAATCACTGTCAATAACACATTTAATTTTCATTTGAGCTGCAGAAACAAAATCCTCAGAGACTGTGCAAAGAACTTGACTGGCATCTAGCTCCTCTTTCTGATCCACCCTGAACACTCCACTAAAAGACCAATCTTCCACGAGCTAGTGAGTCTCCCAGGAACTCCAGAACCCCCCAGATCACACTGTCAGATCCAAACCCTCTAGCCTGTTCAGTGTTTGTCCCCAAACCAGCACCATCACCCCCTCCACCCACCCAAATTGTCCAAATTCTTCAACCTGATCTGCCTTCCTTCATTCTTCCAGCCCCGAGTTCCCTCTCTCTCCTGAAACCCGCCAGCCAGCACCCGACTGCGGGCTGTACTTGAACTTACCGTACATCTCCCTTCGTATACACACATGTTGTCCTTGCTCTTCAGCGAGACCACACACTCCATAAGGAAAGGGGCACTACTTCTGTATCCCTCACAACTCTCTCATACACTACTTTTGTACTCAGAAATACTCGATAAATATTTGACTTGACTCAAAGGACAAACCTGAAATGAGGAAAGAGCAAAGAGGGATTTTTCAATACACACAGAGAGCCAGTTACATCACCATGTCTTCTTTCCAGAACGTACTTTTGACCACAGGCAGCTTAAACAAACAGTCCCATGTCTCATACCCTTTGGACCAGGTGGGTGCTGTCCTTCTGAGGCCGGAGGCTACCCACTCTCCCCAGGAGAGCACAGATGTCACTGTCCTAACACACAATCCCACAGCATTCATGGCTCCCAAAGTTCTTTCAGGTACATTATCAACTTATTTTATGTGCACAGTAACCCTGTGCCAAGGGCCAAGGATCCTGGTTCCAGGCCTTACACTGAGGACAACTAAGTCACAGAACTAAGATTCAGAACTCAATAGATCTGACTTACCAAAGACAACCTCCTCCCTCCCACCCCTCCAGAGATGTGGAAACCAGGCAGGTAACAGTGCCAATTCACAGCCAGCAGAGGCCTATACTAGAATCAGGCAGGGAAGTGAAGAAGGGAAAGGAACTTTAAAGCCAGCTACATCCCAGAGTCACTATGGAGCCATCTGGCTTGGCGTGGAGGCCCTACCAAGGAACAGCTAAGAGTTCTAGAATCAGACTGTGTTCAAGTCCCAGCTCCAGTAAACTGCATCATTCTGGGTCTAATGTGCTATTCTCGGTGCCTCCACTTCGTCATCAGTAAGAGAACGATCATCATAATACTCTCCTCGCAAAGTCTGGAGGCTCAAATGAAATATTGTGTGTCAAGTGCTTAGCCGTGCCCGGTGTGTGTTCGGAGCCCAATAAATGTCAACCATTGCTTTTCTTACTGTTAGACCAAGACTCAAATCCCAAAGCAGAGGTTTTTGTTCTTTTGGGAATCAGAGACCCCTCTGGGAATCTGATGAGAGCTGTGGACCCTCTCACAAGAAACACATGAACGCACAATTCTGTAGACAATTTCAGGGGGTTGTGAATATCGTGAAACGCATTTATTAAAGCACATTTAAGCGCATATTAAGAATTCATAACCAAGAAAGACAAGTTCATAGCTATAGCCCATATGGAACTCCTACCCTTCACTCTCCTAGTGTTCCAGGTCAGAGAAAGCTAAGGAGTGAGTGTGTGAGAGAGAGAGAGAGAGAGAGTGTGAGTGTGTGAGTGTGTGTGTGTGTGTAGAAAGAGACTGATTCTCTAAGTACCTTCCCTAGAGTCCAAGAAAGGAAACCCAATGGTACCACAAATTTCAACTCACACTCCAGCCTCTTATTCTGCCTCCACCCCAGCTTTTTCACTTAACTCTTTTGTACCAAATCATGTGCTACTGGGACAGCACCACAAAACTAAAACAGAGTGTTCCTTTCTCTCTCGCCCCACATCAGACGGGGGCGGGGAGAGAATGAGAGTGGGTGGCCTTAAATAAAAGGTAACCACACTGTCCAGTCACAGTTGCTGGCAGGAACCAACACCAGTTCTGTGCCAGGCCCTGGCCAGTCAGTCAGAGAGGGGAAAGATGCACTTTGCGGGGTAGTTCAGTTAAAACCACAAACGCACACAAGAAAGCAGGGCTAGTTCTCCCGATTCGAGCCCTCCTATGGGGAGTACAACCTCTAAGCTCAGCCCAACAGTTAACCAGCCTTGCAAGTAAAAAACCACAAAACCAGCTAAAGCTTTTTCCAAAGGAGGCTCTTTTTTCCCCGGCGCCAAAACTGGCCAAGAAGGTGATCTCAATTCAAACCCACATTCCTTTGAGGTGTTTGTGAAATGGGCAGCTCTGCAGACCAGCGGCTGGAACCTTTGGTTTGCAGAGATCTGAGCAAGGGCGCTGTGCTGACTTTCCCGGGGAGTTTAGAAGGCGGCTTTGCAAGTCAGAGACATATCTAGGGAGGGTTCAAGTGTCCTATCCCCAGCATCAAGGAAGGGGAGGGGCTTGGGACCTCACCAATGTCTTTCTGGCTCAGATTCTCTATAAGGAAGATTGAAGAGCACCAGAGAGAAGCCAGGGAGGAACAAAGTTACACCCCAGGCCCAAGGCACAACAGCTCTTTCAGCTTTTATGTAAAACCCTGTACAACCTCGAGGCTTCCCCATTTCCCAGCGCCATCATCAAAGGCTTACTCATGAGGTTTTGCACACCCAGTAGAGACAGTACAGGTGGGACCCCAGTGTAACGGCCTCTGTGAAACCCATGTTGTTACCACAGGCTTGTGTCAAAACAAACAGAGCACACCCCAGAAATCACATTTCCAGACTATAGAGAATGGATTTTAAGCAGAGTTCAATGCCACAAGACAGCATTAAGGAAACAAATCTCAAGTGAGAAAAAACAAACTGAAATAGTCCTGAGAACGTGTAGGATTTCATGTACAAGGCCATCAATCGCAGCATTTTGGCAACGGTGAAAGACAGAAGACAACTCAATGGCCATCAACAGGGTTTAATTCGGGGTTCTTTATATGGTGAAATACAATGCACCTGTTAATCAGAATGAGGTCAAGCTATATGTAACTGACATGGGTCAAGTCAAAAAGGCATACTTGGTTAAAAAAAAGAAAAAAGAAAAAGCAAACCCACCTACTCACATTGCATTTCCATTTCTCTATAACTTGTTTCTACCTCCTCAGAATCAGAGAATATTAGAGTTGAACATCACCTTAGGAAGTCAATTTAATTATCCATCAACCTGGGAGCTCCAAAGACAGGAATCATTTCTCCTCTACCTGCCCATTCTCTCCTCATTTATACAGGACTTAGCCCTAGGTGGGCCCCAGGACAGTCATGCAGAGAACAGACCATAATCCAGAGGACCTTTGTTATAAATTCCTCTGTTCTTGACAATCCCTATAAAGAACTTCAGGCTGCACCTCAAGTTTGATCTTTTACCTCAACCATCGCTCCCTCTGCCCCATGGCTACGTGGCCTGCATTTTTCCATGTTCCTCACCACTTACTGTTTCAACCTAATCAAGGCCTCTGAAAAGTTAGTCCACTCCACACTTCTCTTCCTCCAAGCAAGACCGCCCCAAAACCTCCTGAGAAATACAAAATTTGACTTTAAGCGCCTACCCCACCCCTGACAAAAGACATCCTGGTCTACCCCACTTGGTCAAACTCCCACTGGGAAAGCCATCACCCAACCCCAGCCAGCCCCCTGGCCTCCGACACCTGTCCTTACCCAGATCCTGTCGGCACCTAGAATTTTACCACTTTTAATATCTGAACCCCCAAAACAGAATTCCCTAAACACAATTTCTTGTTCTTCTACACAGCACACATATCTACTTCCACTAGGCTCGATCTTTAAACCTGTTAAGGTTTCCAATCCCTTGACCACATGCTTTCTCTAGGCTAGTGAGCTCCTGCTACATTACTCAGTAGGGAGCGTGCCAGCCATCACTTCAATGACACCCTCACCAATACCCCCCTCTGACCCATCCTCCTGCACTACTCACTCACCCTGTCAATTGCACCCACCCCTGGATGAAACTGGCCCTCTTGTCTTCTCTACCCCTCCCTCTAGGCTGCCAGCTGCTGCTGCACGC